CTTAGAATTTCACGATGAAAGGTAGAAATATGAGAAAGAATATCAATAGCCTCAAATAGAATCTTCTCTGAGAAAAGAATCGTATTCTCGAAGTAGAAGTTGCCGAACGAATCGTGTTTTGGCTGCAAAAGGTTGAGAGAGGCTAGATAAGCCAGCATTCTTTCATTCCTATTCCTTTGTAAAAGCATCGATGTTGGATGAAAGTACACCCCTATTTTCTTACGCCTCTGTGAAAGTCCCTTGCGAGCTGTTCCACGCCCTGCACTTCCAGAGGGCGAGAGATTCGAAACGTGATACTACAATCGACTCTCGGTAGGAATCCTCGATACTTATAAGGTAAATTCTGTCGTGGCTGAGAAATCTTTCATATTTTGCAATCGGATATTATCTTCAAAACATTTTTATATTCCTGAAAGACTGTACAAAAGTTTGATGATTATTTATTCGCGAAACCAAGCTGGATAGATTTGTGAGCCGAAAGCAGTGATTTCCATTGAAATTTTATGTTTGAATTTTAAAGCTGTAAGCTTGATTTAATTTTAAGGTCTGATTAATTATTAATGGTATTCAAAAAAGTGAAAAGAATTTTGTTAATTTTGCAAAAAGTCAATGGTATATAGTGGTATTCTGAAGTAGAATGGAAGGGTTAAACGCGAGGGTTGTTCAACCCTGAAACACACTTGTTCAGAGAGCTCGTGACGCCTTGACGTCGACAGGAGCGCTTATTACATTAACATAAAAATGGTTTCTATACTGTACGCGAGAATGTGATAGCAAGGGTGGGTTTCTTCGTTTCAGGGGTTCGTTTATGTACCGTTACCCCATATCTGTAAGATAGTGTACGTATAATGTAGCTTTAGCGCTATCCGTGGAAAGATGGGGTGAGTTTGCTAACGGGGGATGAAACTATCTTAATTTCGGTTCCTTTTCGTCGACTATACAGTCGTATCAGTTACTTTGAATATACCTATTCCAGATTCTTGGAAATTTGAATATTGACGTGAAATTGATTAAAGTTTTAATTAAAATTTTTTGAAACAGTGCCATTATTTAGCCGTAGGTTAATTATGAATTCTTCAGAAGAAAAGCAATATTTTTTAATGAATTTTTAAAAATAGATTATTTTTAGAGATGTTTGTTATTCATAATTCTGTCTGCTATACGTGTTTAAATTCTATTTAAAATTTCGATTAGAGTTTTCCACTGATATTGCAGAATTTTCATTTCCAAAAATATCAATATCGCCTGAAGCTCGTTGAAAAAATCATGTTATGGAAAAAAAAACTTTGATATTAGGTATATGCAAATTTAGTTTCCCTCTTTTTCAAAGCTTTACAAATAAATTCCAACTGTGAATTGTTTAAAGATTTCTGTTAAAGTGTGAAATATCAAATATTATTAATGACCAATTTCTTAATTCCTTTTATCCAATTTTATCAACGTTTCAACTACTGTTCTGCTTCTCTTCAGACTTTATTACGAAAGATATTAAGGTAGATTACTAAATCTAATGTATTACATTGGGGTATGCTATAACGAACGTAATTGGTTCTGGTACCTCGTTTGTTATAACATGTGTTCGTACTAGTATACATTGAAATATATGTATCTAGGCGTAATCTATTTCAGACCCATAATCTAGATTTTCGATTCTAGACCAGAGTTACCATTCGATAAATATCAACTGTGTAGATAGAAAATATTTTATGTAAGATGGAAAATATAAGGGTAAAAATAACGTAAAATTATAGATTCATAGATGAATAATAGATATTGAAACAAAGTAACAGAAACTCTTGTATAACGTTAATAATATTCGTCATGTAAGAAATACTGATTTCTTACAGTCTTTCAATAATAATTTCTTAGAAATGTACTAATCCTCAGCAAAGTATAACCGTTTAGTAAAAAGGCAAGGTGTTTAAAACGTCAGTAGTTGCTGTCGGCAAGCACGTTTCTTTAAAAGTTCTTGAAAACTTTGTGAAACTGACGTTAAAGTGGTGCTACCGCGACGAATATCGCAGGAATTAACAAAGTTCCGGGAAACTTAACTAAAGTTAACCGATATTTTTCACCGAATACACTTGCATCTTGTACTTACATTGAAAGTAATTATGGAATTATTGAACAACATTAAATACAAACCATTTGAATTTTCTCATTTCAAATTCAGTGTTCTTTTTAGATTTAGAAATTTCCGTAAACATTATAAACTTTGAACAATGTTAGCTTTTAGTAATCGCACGCTGAGTTTCAGCACAATAAACTGAAACTTTATCGTATACCGTCGTGTTTCGATGGATTTCTGTGTTTTACTTTTTAATATTGTGTTTAAACGAACGGCAATAAATCGCAGGTTGAATTTCATTAAATATTTTTCATCGATTGTGTAAACATCCCTCGTGTACGCAGAGTGATTTCCACCCACAGAGATTTTCCATGGGAGTAGGTAGAAATGAAAATATCGAGCTCAAAGAGAAACATTTGAAAGGTAATCACAATTTTAGTATATGAAATAAATATGCAAGAAAGCTTTAATTGCAGCGAGTATTTCCAGACAAATAATAATTATTTGAATAATCAAATCATAAGATTTTAATAAAATTAAAACGAATACAAATCATTTAGGGTAATCTATTTTTATTTCAAAAATAATAAACATATCAGAATAGAAGTATTTCAAAATATCTTGAAGAATGAAAATGTGGTAGATAGGACATTACAATTAATAAGGGTGGAATAGATTTAGCCACGTGTTCTCGGTTGATTCGCCATCATAAATATAATAAAGACAAACCAGAGCTTTTAATCGTTAGTTACTTCGTGGGAAAACGTTTCCGCCCTTACGTGGAAGAAAGTAGGGTGAACCACAGGTCTGAGGGCTGCCGCCACCCATACGGGTCACCCTCGTTACGCCTAGCAATGGAAATGACGTGATGCATAAGTAATTTCTGCATGGTATCTAGACCTCTCTACTATTTGCTCGAGTAAACATAGTTAAAACCAGGGACCTGGATACCTCGCGATCGTTCCTCTTCGTCGTAAGTGTCTTACAAGTTTGAGTAGATGTTTGACTTGAATTCGTAATTGCTCGATGATTCATCGATTCGCGTGTTGCTTCTTGATGGATAAATGAATTTAATTAAACTGGTAAATCGAAGACTTTAATATCAATATTTAAAAAATTATTACTTAAAGTATTATTATGATAACTTTAAGTTATCAAATTATATAAAATTTTCAGGCAGGAAATTTAACATTTCTCTTTTTTTTATCCTGTTTAATGAGACTGTACATTTCCAATAATTTTATCTTCTAATTAACATACGTGTACTTGTAAATCCCCAAAGTCAAATCAAAATTAAAAAATTTATCTCATAATTCTGCTTAAATTCTCTTAATCTCCACATACGACGTAAAAGAAGTTAAACAGCATTACTGTTGCGGTGGTAGAGATACATATCAAAGTAACTACGACATCAGAGGGGTCAAACCAGAATTTATATTTCGACTCGGAAACGCACCCTACATCCCTGCATTTTAATTTTGCATCGCTGACTCATCGGGATGCCGAGGATCTTTCGAACGCGTCCCACTGAAAAAGTAATCGCCAGGGTACCCCACCCCAACAAAAAGGAAAGATGAAAGAGAGAGAGAGAGAAAGAGAAAGAAAAGAGATCGTCGGATCGCGCGAGGGTGTGCAAAGAACCGCGCACATCGGGGTGCGCGAAACTTTCCCAAGGGTGATAGTGTCAGCAAAGACCACCAGGGCGACAGTTGGCGCGCTTGGGAGCGGTAACCAAGGTTACGGTGCGCATGGGCAATGCCGGGATTCGGGGCATCCGTTGTGGAGCACACTACGGGGGTGGTTTTTCGCTTTGGCACACCCGGGCGGCTAGCTGGGCGGTGTCTGCAGCCTTCACTTTCCTCCTAAAAATCGAAGGCTACAGAGCTGGTGGCCGTCTTTTTTTTCCCTCTCTGTCGCTGTCTTTTCCTTCCCTTCTGTCATCTTTCGTCTACCTCGTCCCGTAAATCTTCACACGTTTCCTTACGTTTTCCCATTCATCGCGGGATCGTTTCTTTCTCCCTGCCCTCTCCCTTTTCTGTTTTTCTTCGTCGAGCCCGGTGACACGTGTCACGCGACCAGCAAGACGGACAGGCCCGCGAGTGCACGTGCATGCTGCTTCGCGCCAAAACCAGAGGAAAAATAAGAGAAGTGAAAGTGCTGGTTAACGGTGTGACTGCGAGGAAGATTACCGATCGCCGAGGAAAGCCGACTTAGCCCCGCGGGACGCTCGAGCGGGCCCCACGTAGCCGGAAGGCGGATCAGGAAGTCCTTCGGTCTCGCTGCGCCAGTGAAACTTCCCGGTCACGTGATCGTAGCGAGGGTTTGACGAAGAGGGAGGGAGCCAAGTGTGCCATAGTCGACGATCCTCGTTCCGCGTGGAACAGCCTATCGTCGATCGGTTCTCGTCGCGGTAGGTCGGTCGATCGATTAACCCTGATCGATTACGTGTGATCGAGATCAATGGTCCCGGTAACCGCGTGTCTAGTCAGTCGACGGTGATGTTTGTTTACCAAGTGCGCGAGGACCTGGCCTCATTGTCCCCGAGCAATCGAAAGGGAGTTCCCTCGGAGGATAGCGGAAAATGATGCTGACAGTTGATCGTAGAACGGGTTCGTCCAGGTCCGAAGAATACTCGAAGAAAGCGGTGACTGTTGTTGATCGATATCAATGTATCGTGCGGTTCGAACAATTATCAGGTCCGTGTGGCAAGCTGATCAGTGTTTACATAGACTCGACCGATGATTCACTGCGTGCACGTTTCGATTGTGAATCGGGATGACCTGATTTTATCCGGGGAAGAAGGAAGATCGATTGCGAAACCGTCGAACCTTGACACGCTTCGGGAACAGACGATAATCGTCTTTTACGATAACACTGCCAAAATTAATCTCACGCATGGGGTACGTTGCACGATACTCGTTGTCTTTCGTGCGGACAGCTGTTTTCCTCGATCAACACAGGCAAGCTTTTAACCGATAATCCTGCGTCGCAGGTGTGGCATAGTTTCTTAGTACGTTCGAACTTACTCGTTGTTGACGTTGGAGCCTCTAAAAGCTGATATTTTCCGACACCTCGTGTGCTGATTTCTTTCCCTCCCTCGATTAAGCCTAAATAGTTTCATACGGTATTAACTATGCGGCGATTATAGAGCGGTCCCTCGAGTGGCCGTTAAAAGATCGTGCGTTTCAACGGTTCTCTTTAAGTTGGTAATTTAATTACACTTTAGGAAAGTGAGCTCCATCGGAGCCTGTTCTGTCTCTGCTCTTCAGCACCCCTGCGGTTAGGTTTTCGGCATCGACTTTTGTGATCGGACGGGCAAAATGATTGATTGATGTCATGATTAAAATTGATAGAAATATTTTACACGTGGCTCCAGTGGCTGGCTGTAATTAATTCCAAACGAATCACCGTCGAATTTTTATACTTCAGTTCGGACGTTTTTATCACTTACACTTTCAGTTGATGATACTAGGAAAATGTTACGATTCTGTAGATTATTGCCTTAAAACTTTGATTATTATTTATTCAGCTATAACTTTGCTGAAATACTGAAGGTTAGATTTGTTGGAATTGAAACAACATGAATTTATTATCAAATTTAACTTTATTCACGAGGTTGGATACGAAAGAAATAAAAATTACGTGGAATGAAGTATCCAACGATGAACATAAATATCGGTTGCTCCCATTTCTAACTTCACAATGTTGGGCTTGATACTTGATACTCGGTGTTACACATATTTCAGAAGCGCGATGAATAGTAGAGGGCTGTAATTTTCACTGTCGGTTCACCAATTTACATGAAAAAGCGAGCCTGACAAGCGTTCAACGCGATAAACGCCATGGGAAAATGCTACAGTTTAGTCAGCTATCTTTATTTTCGTCCTGAGTTAGTGGATTTAACTCACGACAAAAAATTTAATATTCTTGCATATCAAACGGAGGATTTCGTGACAAAGAAATTCACGTCAAGTCGGGCACAATTTGATGACATAAAAGTAGAATAAATTAACACTTATTATACATCAAATTGAAGCTTAAAGTTGAATACAAATAATGGTACAAATCTTTCCTTAATATTTTCAATATAACTCAGGGAATTATTAAAAAATCATCTCATCAATTAGAGTAGGACGTTTCTCTGGCAACCAGCCATTTTATATTAAGAACATTAATAAAGTGTTTATTTAGTCATTTTTATCATACTTTGAGCTTTAAATTGATATACCATAAGTGATATTAGAAAGTGCTTTTATATCATCAAACCTTATCAGGCTTCCTACGTTTCGAAATTTGCCACCTGATATACAACTTAATAGCGCAATGAAGATGGTAACATGTTTTACCGATTATCCCGTTAGTGAAGGCACCAGAGACCCGTGAAATTGTCAAATTGCACTCCATCACCTATGTACATCGCACTCGAACCAACGGAAGTAAGCTACACGCTCGGTTGAGAGCACTTGACCCTTCGTTGCCGCTATGTATATCTTGAGCATAAATCAGCCCGAAGGGCCTTTTGGACATCTCGGGCATGCTCTGAAAAACGGTACGGATTTACATCGAAAGGGGTGTGGCCTTCAAATATGGAATTGTAATCGAGGTTCTGGTCGAGATATCGCGATGAATGGACGATCCACGACATGTTGGAAAAACGTGTGAATCTTTCGAGTGTCCTTTATTGTGATAACCGATTTAGGTCATCGTTTGAACAATTGGAAAAATAAAGTATTTTCTAAAGGACTGGTCGTTCGAATACGTCCGCTTAGAGGTGGGAGAAAATAATTTTTTTCTTTGAAGTCGTTTGCTTTGAAATTTTATTCGATAAACCTGTTTAATCCTTTCACTACGGATATCTCTTTCAGGAACGCTCTTGTACGTTTATATATTTAATTGTCCAGCTCAATACGTAAAATGAGTAAAATGATTTTGTTCATTATATTTTATGTACAATATGCTACATTTTATTTTGCATTAAAAAATTTATTTTTGTAATTCATTGGAAAATGAAGAAGTTTACATTGAATATATTATTTGGAAAAATACAAAATTAGGTACAGGAAGGTCAGGTTTTTCATGAATGTCGATTTCATGAAAAGTAGCGTTGCTACTTTATACTCTTTGAATAATGCATTGAATTATTGGCATAGGGGTGCTTCAGAAGACATCAAGTTACACCATAAATTCTGCACTTTTATTTTGTTATTTCTAATAATAGAATGCCAAGTATTAATAATAGTAAATAATTCTTCTATTTTTTTTTTCGTAAATGGGTTACGAATTGTCGAAAAAATGAAATATTCTCTCATACATTCATCGTCCAGTTACACGAAGAATTTTAATCACTCGGATTAAATTTCCAATAAAAATTACCGCAACGAATCTCGCCATTTCGTCCTTCCATTATTGCAATTTCGCGGTGAACGTTGTCAGTCTAAATGCTTTCACGTCATTCTTCCTCATATATTCTATTATCCGTCGCTGTTGTTATATAAAAGTACCCTACGGATGTTCGAAATTATTGTCGCCCATTGTTCTTGTAGGATTCAACGACGTTTAACGTGCCATGTCGTATTCAACCTGTCATACTGTTTGCACAGCAATTTACGACGTGTCCAACCGGCTCGATTTTGCATTAAGGAGTCCCATTCATGCGCTGTCATTGGGAAATCAGGGATTAATCATTATTCGAATTCAATTTTCTTGGACGCCAGGTAACTTTAGTAATTAATTTTCACACGTGGTTTCGTTTTATCTACGTTAATTAAGTTGGCTAATAAACTAGTGGCATCGAAACATTCTTCTCTATTTTCTATTTTGCAAAATTTTAAATAATCTATACATAAATTTTTGCAAACACCTTTTTAAAATATATTTTTTCTTAAATTTGATTTCACTCTTCGATTCTTCTGAACCCACCAGATGATCCCTTTAAACTTTTTTCTGGAATAATTTACATTTGCATTAAAAATGATCGCATAATTCAAAACCAGCAGGCCAGCTAGACAAATCTTTAAAATTTCATCGTTTCAGCGGCATCGAATGCAGAGTCAACGAGGGCCTAATTAAAAGACGCATTGATTAAGCACTGGATCTGGGTTGTAGTAGTCTGTAAACATCCTTAATGGATCGTACCTCGTTCATGATTCATTTTCATCCCTTCCATCATTATTTCTGCCGTGTTGTTCGCCGCTGGTATCAGCATTCTTTGTTCGCCAACTAAAAGTCGGTCATGTCTCTTTCCTTGTAAATTCTTGTTCACCTTTGCGACAGCTGGTTAATTACGCGAATTCCATTTCTGTTTCTGAACGTCGTTGCTATTGGAAAATAATTTCTAGCTTTAGTTTATCGACGGGGTTGAAATACGCGATTTTATGAAGATTTTATTGCCAAAGTACGTGGCAACAGTTTGAATTTCATTTCAAACTCTACTCGTTTCCATTTTCTAATTTAGATATTATCAAGAAACTTCGAAACATCGTTTACACAAACATTTTTATAAACTTTTCAGTTATCCTAAAATCGGAAATTTCACGTGTACAATACTTTCCATTTGTATTTCATTAGAAGAGCTTTTGGGTGCCGGAAACAAGTCGACGTTAGCATACAAATAGGGTATCTGGTAAATTTGTCCTCGGTGCTTCATTAAAAGTATCCTGGTTCTATGTCGAATAAAGTAACAAGGGAATCTGCAATTACGCTTTGAGAGTGTTTTTAATTCTCCCTTTTCCTTGCTGTTACTACCTTTGTCTCTTAAAGACACCCTTTCTGCAACGTGGCTGTTCTTAAAAGCGATCCCTCAAACCTTACTTTCGTACCTCGATACTCTAAAAGCACTTCGTTACACAGTGAATTCCTAAGATGTACCGGCTATTTTCGAAATCTTTTGTCTTGAAAATTTTTATTTCAAACGCGTACGCTGAATTCCTAACGCTTCCAATGAATCAGCATAATTCGAAACGTCGATTTCCAGACGTTCTCCACTTTTTGTCAGAAACACCCGTTTCTGATAAGGGGTCAAGGGCGTCTCTGACTGGCGAAAAATTGAACTTTTTTCACATAGACACGCGTCGGGGAGACATTGATTAATCTCTCGATACCAGTCGATAAGCTCTTACACCCACGCAATCTACTCTTTGTTCTTTCATTTGTTTTTCTCATACCCCTCTGTATACACCGTCGCAATTCGTAATGTCAATTGATTTTTGTTTGCAAACCTCTTCAAAATAAAGATTTTCAGGATTTTTCTCTCCCTACCTCGCCAGATCTGATCGCTGGTATTCATCTACGTCAGATCTGAAAGGTTAATTGAAAGGGTACGTATATTTTTGCAATTCACGGCGGGTATCCCTGAAAATTGCAAGTCACGAGGTAAATCCACTGGCTTTCCTTTCGCAAAGAACAATTCCTTTCCCGTGCGTGAGATATTTCGTTGTTCGCTCGATATTACGTTCGCCCTCAATGTTTGTGGAAACGTTGAGGAAACACGTAGCCGATGTTTGATTGCTCCAACTCGCTACTCGCTACTGTTTGCTTTCATTTTCGTTGCCGTAAATTTTGTTTGCTATTCGTGCTCGAGAAGGATTTAATTCATAATTGGGCGTGAACGCTGCTCGAGTAATCCTTTAAAATGTTTTCGCGTTTGTTCGTAATACCTTATTCCAGGTTCTTGTCGCTTTGCGTTAAACGTTTGGTAACAGGATGTAATTAAAGCATGTGGTCCCTTTCATCTCTCACCGTTGTTGGAATCTTTTCCAACTACTTAGATTATAAAAAAAGAAGATTTCTATTGTTTATACAGAGGTTTGTTAAAATAATAGAAACACCTGTTACAAGTATGCTTCCTATTCCTTTTTTTTTTTGTTGAAAGAGCTATTATTTGAAAGAAATAGATTGAAACATTTATATGCTATACTCCCTTCTGGAGCAATATTTTTCCATTAGGAAAGAAAGAAATATAGCAATCATTTGAGGTCTTACGTTTGGGTCACCCATCTACTACGATAAATTATCAGATAAAATCCCTATACAGGGTGGCTTGTGGCGACACGAGGAAACGCTTAAAGAAAAGGACATTTGGAATGAAAGATGTGTTACGGTAATTGCCTACTTCGGATGCAAACAAAATCTATGGCCGTCTCAACTGCTGTACGCTTGAATTCCATTTTCGTATGTCGCCACGGAAACAACCTATAGATTTTCGATCCTCTGAATTGGAGCATGGAAATTTTGTTCTTTGAGTTTGGAAGTTTTTATTATACCACACTTTTTCTTTCATAAGTATCTATTTGTAATTTCAAACAATGAGTCTGAAATTCATGGTTCTTAATTCAGGTTATTGGTTCAAATAATTAAAATAGTGTTTTCTTAAGGTATCTCTAAAATTTCGTTTCTTAAGTTTGAAGAAATGCGAATTGTTAAGCTTGATTTGAACTCAGGTTTAACTTTCGTATCTCAGAGATTGTAATTGAAATTTTAAATACTGTGTTTGAAGCACTAACTTCTATCTTGTATTCTACATAAATTCTGGTGTCAGATTATCGTTCCAAGTAATTAAAATATCTTTATGTTCCTTTATGTACCTTTATCGAAATTTATTTGTTAAGTTTGAAAGAATACAAATTTTTATTATGCTGCTGCAACACAT